TAACAAGGGCATTACTAGTAGTAACAAGAAGCTACTAGTAACAAGTGCATCACTACTAGTAACAAGGGCATTACTAGAAGTAACAAGAAGCTACTAGTAAGAACTGCCCAAGATCATGATCTTCGACCAGAGGACGCGCTTCCTAATATTCGGCCCGCCCTGCTTGGGCCCCTGAGATTCTGCTTCCGTGACTGAGATTTGATCACCTCAATCTTTACGGCCGCCCACAGCTCAGAGCTGTTCGCTTGCCGATCAGACCAGGAGAAGTGGGTGGAGATGAGGTTTGTATTTGTTTCGAGATGTCATGAAAAATGTGTTTTTAGTGAATCTATGTGAATCTAGCGTTTTCTTCCGGGAGAAACCCTTTGTCTCTATCAAGAATCACTGTGATTCACTGTGTTCGTGTCAAAGAACATCCAACACTGAGAAGGTTCAAGTTCATCCTACCGTATTATACAGTAGAAATGAGAAACTGGCCTGTGTAGCTCATTGCAGGCCGTCAGTCAACAGCATTCCTCCATGGACGGTCTGTCACCCACGCGGAGCCTAGCCGAAACGGCAGCGCTTGAATGTACCAACTGCAGCGCCAGAAGAGTGAGTACAAGATCTTGGCCCAACATCATACTAAGGGGATTGAATTTGAAGCTTAAGACGGCGCTTGATGCAGTCACTCTATGTCATACAGCATGAGCAAAGTGACGGAAAGGCGAGACATCCCCACTCATCCGCAGAAAAGGTTCGAGAAGATGCAATCAAGCCTCTCCCAGATTTTATCCAATGGGTCTCCTGAACAAATATATATATATATATGTCCCTCATGCCATCGACGCGTGCTGACCGTCCGATGAGCGAGGTATATACAGTATACACAGCATATAACTATTCAATATCGTTAACTTTCTCTTCCTGTGGGGTCCCAACCGACACGGCCTGACTTTGCATTGTAGGTCCAAAACCCGATCCAGTGGGTCTTCGAATTGGGGGTGGAAGACTGGGGCGCTCCCAATTCGGAAACACCAGCTGTTGTAGCGATGCCAGGAGCCCCTAGTAGCGTCCTTGCTCCTAGTGGATCAGGAGACCAGAAGAATGAGGTGTCGAGGGTCTCAAAGTGTTCGGCTGATTGGAGGATGAGGGATTTGCCAAATGGTTGACCGCACTTTGCCGATGAACTCTGTTCTTACCTGCACGAATGCACTAGCCTATTTGTCAAATCTACATCATGACATGCATAATTGCATGTTAGACTGTCATACATGTGGAGACTTTTCTTGGAGTGGATCCGAGGCCATCCCATGTAACTAGGGAACAGTTATAATACATATATATATATGTATTTATTTATATAGAATATATATATATCGTTATAGCATTTACACCACGTCGGCGGTTCAGAACACAGTTACTTGGATCCGAGGCCGAAAGCTCCGCATCACCAGGCAAGAACAGACATGTCGTTCGTGGGAGCTGCCACGGTCAGGTAACTTGGGATGTCCACCGGAGCGGTTGAACTGAGGAAAACTGGGGCACTGTGTAGAGTAGATTTAGTAGATTCAGTAGACAATGTTTACTATAACGTAAGGACCACACTCGCTAGATTTAGATATTGTGTGATATCGTGCTGCAACACCCACTTCCTCGCCACCACCAGCCTCACTCAGACCAAGCAGTCGACGAGAGCGCCTCGTCTCTTTGGGTGCAGCTGGTGCCATGAGCTATTGGTGTCGAGCTGAGCTTTTGGTGAAAAACGCTGGTGCCAAACGCTGCGGGTATATTGAACTGCGACCAGATCCAACCGATCGTGACTGGTCAGAAACGCGATGAGCCAGTGGCCAGAACAGTGTTGGATGACAAGATGGATAATAATGCCATGGCCATGTGGGAACAAGTTAATGTTGCATTGCATAGATGGTCTATGTCACAATCGCATGTTGTTGGTTTGGACTAATTGGCTTCCTCCGACTTTGTCGCAACACAAGCAGCAATTTATGTTGCTGTTTGTTTCCACAATGCTTGGGTTCGCTTCAATGACTGTGCCCCTAAGACATGATATATGATGCAAAATCCTCATTCCAAGACTTGAAGTTGGAGCTGCCGCATGCTGACAATACTTAATTTGGTGTGAACCCTGCTTGGATCGGATGTCAAGGAAACTCCCAACTTAGCTCACCTGCGAATGGTTTCCGGATTTGCCTATAGGGCAATGAAGTTGCTGAAGCATTCCATCATCAACTGCATTGCGCCTGGGCATCTGTTTTGCTGGACTGGAGTCATTGCCGGAGGATGATCAAACGGCAGAATGACAAAACGACTAAGCGATGTCAGCCAAGAAGGGCTTCCTAAGCTAGCATTTGTAGTTTTCCCAGCAAAGTGTTTTTTGTTTTCTACACAGTCCAATGTGTGAACTGCCTATGGTTCGTCGTTGAATCCCTAAGTGTGTAAATGACTTTGAACGGTGTTTACTTGGCTATCAGCACTGCTTTTCCAGAGTACGTTCAAAACAATCATTTTCTATATATATATATTATACTGTAGATTATATGAAGTATTGCTTTAGTGCACAGACACTTGCCAAGCCTTATATACAACATACTTCTGTCTTCTCCTTATGGGCATTGACAAAAGATGCACTCGTTTGGGACACTTTGTATGCTTTGGAAAGTGGTTTGTTTGTGCGCACCGTTGCAAAAAACAAGACTCAATTTT